GGAGGACGGGGGCGAGCCCGCGGGGGTCGTAGAGGAGCCGGGCAGCGGGGGACCCTGCTGGCTGCAACTGGAGGAGGTGCCTGGGCCCGGGCCGCTTGGGGGAGGGGGCCCCCTGCGCTCCCCTTCCTCGTACTCCTCCGACGAGCTGTCCCCCGGAGAGCCCCTGACTTCGCCCCCCTGGGCCCCCCTGGGTGCTCCCGAGCGGCCAGAGCATCTTCTGAACCGGGTACTGGAGCGGCTGGCCGGAGGGGCCACCAGGGACAGCTCCGCCTCAGGTAAGGAGTCGCCCGCCTGACTTTCCCTTCCCTAGAGGGGGGATTACAGCCTGGTTCCTCTTCCTTGGCCTTGGGTGGTGGGGTGGCCCGATGCTGGAGCCTCGGTCGGGGGCTGAGGGGTTCGCTGAAGGAGGTAGGCACAGCTGAAGCCCTTTCTCCCTCCCCTTAAGCCACCCTTGTGTGCCACTGGGCAGAGTATCCACAGACTTAGGGTGCCTGGTGTTGCCTACGCCCTTCTGTGGCCCAAAATTAGGGCCTGGCCCAGGAAGATGGAAGCAGCCCATGCCACCCTCCAGAGGCACCCTCCAGACTTGAAAAGCTTCACAGGGGTTCCTGATTCTGTCTAGAAGCCCAGGGTGGCCCACTGTGTGGGGCAGTGCTAGAGAGGCCTAGGGCCACAGTACCCTTTGGTGTTCGGTAAAGGGGTGTGTTGTAGGTGGGGTGGGGGTCTGCCTGTGGGAGGGAGGGTGGCTGGGCAGGCATCTGAGGGTCTAAGCTTCTCCAACATTGGCCCTTCCGGTGTCAGGCCTCAGTACAGGGCCTCTTTAAAAAAAATACTAACCACACCCTCATGGGCTTGTCCCTAAACAATGATGCTATTTCACCATCCACCCCAACCCTAGCACCCCTACTCAGGGGCTCCTGAGGAAAGTGAGGCCCCAAAAGGCTGGTTGGTGATTGAGGCAGGAAAACCTAAGGGTCTTTAGAAATGCCAAACCCGCTGCCATCTGGTCGATTCCCACTCACAAGGACCTTATAGGACAGAGGAGAGCTGCCCCCGGAGGTCTCTAAGGCTATAAGTCTTGATGCCAGATGACTACCACATCTTTCTCCCAAGGAGCAGCTGGTGGGTTTGAACTGCCAACCTTTAGGTTAGCAGCCAAGTTCTAAACCACTGAGCCACCAGGGCTCCTGAAGGTCTTTAGTAGTAGGTATTTCACTACACCCAGGAGGGTCTGAGGGTTGGGAGCCCCTGGGTGGTGGTGGTGGTGGTGGTGGTGTGTGGGTGTGTTCTGCAGGGAGCACTAACCCGGGTACGTGGAGTGGGGAATTCACTCCCCTAGATTTTTCTCAAGACCTGAGTCCCTTCCTTGGGTTCAGGCTGCAGTTGCCCTGGGGAGCTGACACCTTTTGGATTTAATTAGAAAAATATCAGACACACACAGCTCTCCTAACCATAACTTCCCGCCTACACCACACACCCTGTTTCTCTATGACACATTCCCTGGGGAGGCTGTGCTTTGGACCACAGCCTGCCTTGGAAGAGACAGATGCCAAACTGGAGCCCCCATAGCAGCCTCTGCCCTGTGTTTCTCTGCTTCGGCTCTGGCTTAGCTCCCCCGTGAGAGAAAGAGTCGGGGGGGGGAGTCAGGAATCCTGAGTCCTCATCCCCATCTCTGGAGCTGGGTGTCAGGATGGGAGCTGATTCATTTTAAGAGCACAGCAAGGTAGCTGAAGCAGAGAGAAGGGAGAGGTTTTTCCTCTCTTGGGGCCTGATGCCACAGACTCTGTGCAGGGTAACACTGCTCAGTTGACAGTAACCCAGATTTTCTGGCCAGGCAGACTGGATCCGTACAGTAACTGGGATGGGGGAACCCCAAACTAGTCCCAGTGTGGACCAGAGTCAGCATAGCCCGCCCGTCTGATGTTTCCCAATATTATCAATGTTCTCCAGTCATTTTGGTCTCCTCCCAGCATGTGAACCTAGCAGAAGCTCCTCCCACTTTTAGGCAGCCCCCACCTGACCACTAGGCTCTGCCCTGGTGCTTGGACTGCCTCGGGCATATTAGGAAAAACAGCAAAGCATTGGGAGCCTGGATTCTTGTTCCAACTCCAAGCCTCAGTTTCTCATGTTTGAAATGAAAGAGGTGCAGTGAGTGATCTTATTCTGGTCCCCCACCCACCCACCCCACCCCCTGTCACAGCTAGAAGTGGAGGCCAGGCAGTGGTGATCCCAAGACCCTGCAGAGGCCTAGGGCTGTCCTCAGGAAGTGCCTGGCCCTAACCTGTCCCGGTGAGGGCACCTGGCACCTGGCTCCTTCCCTGCACCCGGCCTGTCTATGTGTGCCAGGCAGTCCTGCCCCACCCCAGGGCTGGCTGCAAGTCAGGGCGACCTTGTACCTGGCTGACTGGCTGAGCCAGGGCCAGGACCAGGCCCAGACTGGGGTGTGGAGGGGAAAGGAGGGGTGGGTGAGAAGAACCACTCCCCTTCACCCTCCCATCATTAACCCTTCCATTTCTGGGCACCAGAGGACCAGAGGGTTTCTATTTAAAACTTGGGATCAAAGAGATGGCAGTTGCTCCCTCTCAGCCTTTAATGGGGCTGGTCCTTACCTGCCTAGCTGGAACTCAAAGCTGTTAAGTAGGGAGTGAGGAGGGGCCAAGGGATCTCGAGCCTCAGTGGGAATCTACTGTTGGCCCTCTGTTCTCTGACTAGGGATCCTTCTGTGGCCTCCCTCTTATTTGGGACAGGCCCCAAGCTTAGCATATTATCTGACCAACTTCCCACACACTGAATAGAAGTGGGCATGGCCATCAGAGGGTGCCCCCCTTCCCTCCAGCTGCCTTGGCAGCTGCCAACTCCACCCCCGCAGCGGCTGCCCAGGATCTTCACGTGTGTGTGTGTGTGTGTGTGTGTGTGTGTGTGTCTGTGTGTGAGCGAGCACGTGTGCACATGTACGTGTATGCAGTGCCTGCTGGAGCAGGTAATTGGGGCTCCAGCCTGGCTAAAGACAACTGGCTACAGAGGCATGAAAGGGGCTGGTGGGCTTCCGGTCTGGCCCTGGAAGTGCCCTCTGACCCTGGGGGCGCACACTGCTCTCCACAGATCTCCTGCTGGATGACATCGTCCTTACCCACTCTCTCTTCCTCCCCACGGAGAAATTTCTACAGGAGCTACACCAGTAATATCCTTTTGTGGAGCTTGCAAAAGGGAGGCTCAGGAGGGAGCCCTCCCACCCCCTGCCTCCCCCATGGGAGCCCAGAGCCTCGATCTTTCCTCTGGAAACACACCTGGGCCTCAGCCCCTGTTTTTCTCCTCGCAGGCTCAGGGGCGGCTTTGTCCAGGGACTCTTGACACTCTGTGGGTTGTTTCCTCGTCTGTAAAATGGGAGTAAACAGCGCCTGCCCTGCTGTTGTGAAGATCGGTCCGATAGCAGAGGTGGGCGTGCTCTGGAGATTGCAGATGCCCCTACAGCAGTGAGGTGTTATTATTTTATGAAGAGGGCCGCCCCCCCCACCCCCACCCCAGATTACTCTAAACATCAGGTGAGTTATTACAGGGTCTGATGTAAACACTAGGTCATGGCTGTGCTCCAGTAGGGTCTGCCAGAGTCAAGCCACTGCCTGGGCTCGTCATGAGCAGAGGGCCTCTCCCCAGATCATTCCAGCACTTCGTTGCAAATGGCAGGTCACTGAGTTGGGTCTCCTAATCTCTCTTGGAAACATCAGCTTTTCCCTTGAGGTATGGTCAGGTTGACCATGGACAAGCCCCATTGACCTTTACTGGCCCATGATGAACTCTAGGCCCTGGGCTGCCCAGAAGTTGGATGGGTCGGGGCAGGGTCTCAAGTTAGATCCTACCAGGTGGAAGCTGGCTGAAGTCAAGTGGGTGCCATCACTAGGCACCCTGAGCAAAACCCTGGAGTGGGGCATGGAGGGCCTTGGCACCAGACCTCCGGACCTCCTTTCTCCTTGGCCCCAAATAGAGAAAATATAGGAAAGCTCTCTCTGTAGTCCAGCTGCCTCGGGCTTTTCCTTAACTTAGGGTCAGCTTTGTTTGGGCAGGCGGCATGGAGGGTCCCGAAGGGCTGGGTCGGAAGCAGGCCTGTCTGGCCATGCTCCTCCACTTCTTGGACACCTACCAGGGGCTGCTGCAGGAGGAGGAGGGGGCTGGCTGCATCATCAAGGTGGGTCCAGGGAAGGGAAGCGGGCGGACAGGCGAGTGGTCTGGAAGGGGCCCTTCGGATGGGACCGTGCCTTTCTTCCACGAAGGCAGGTGCTGGGGAGCCTTCGCTTTTAGCAGGTCTTCTCTGCTTAAAGGCACGGAGGCCGCATCCAGGCTTTGTGAGGAGTTATTCCTTGGGCTAAGACCCTCTGCCTCACCTTCTCTCCTCAGGACCTGTACCTGTTGATAATGAAGGATGAGTCTCTTTACCAGGACCTTCGAGAAGACACCCTGAGGTTGCACCAGCTTGTGGAGACCGTGGAGCTAAAGTGAGGGGGAGTGGCTGGGGGAGGGACAGGAAGCGGGGGCTCCCCTATTACAGGGGCTGTCTCTGGCCCTCTGGCCCTAACACAGTTGTCTGTCTTACTGAAAGGTAGCTCCAGAACTGTCTCTGGTTCTTTTGTCCATCTGCCCCGTCTGTCAACCTGTGGTCAGAAATGCACTTTTGGGGAAAAAGAGCCCTGATAGATAGCTTTTGCCAATTCCCATGGTGTAAACTTTCTAGCTGTGTCTGATGGTCAAGGTACCAACGTGACATCACTGGATGTGGAATGGGAATGAGATGGCAGTATCAAGCCATGGTATCATGTTTCCCACATACCAGTCCAGTAGACATGCAGTAACCTCAAGTTCACAGATGGTAGCAAAAGAATGAGGAAACTAATTATCTGTTTGTAATCATTTATTCAACAGTAATTTTCGTAGACAGGGAAACCTATGACAGGCGGACCTCGTCGGGCCTGCCTGTGTTTTCCCTGTCTCGCAGCTTTTCTGCCCTGGGCAGGTGAAGTCAGGCCACTTCCGGGGAGCTTGTTTCAGTGGACAACATTCGAGTGTGTCTTCTCTGAGAGGTTCTCACCTTTCACAGATCTTACTGTATATGAATATATAAAAAATAATGTGTGTGTCTATGGCTCATTCCACACAGCTAGGGTTGAGCCCCCTTGAAGAGAGGAGAGTAAGGTGGGACAGCCCAGCCCTCCCACTGTGAGGCCCTCAACCTAGGACTTCCAAGCCTCAGACCCTCTTGGATTTAGAGAGACGCTTCCGGAGCCCTTCAGGCGGCCCAGTGGGGAAGCGCTCACTCCCCGACAGCTTGGAAACCCTAAGCAGCAGTTCTCCTCTGTCCCACAGGGCTGCTGGGAGTCAGTATCGATTCACTGCAATGAGTTATGTATGGATGTGGCTGTATGGGGCTGGGGCTTCAAAACGTTTGTGGGAAAAGTTTGTGGGAAAATGGAATGAAAAGATAATGGAATTTTCACCACGAATTTTTTGAAGCCCCCTTGTGTCTACATGATAGTTAGTCCCTAGGTGGCACAAATGGTTAAGCATTTGACTAGTAGTCGGAAGATTGGCAGTTCAACCCACCCAAAGGCTGGGGTTCTGCTTCTGGAGGTGGAGCAGTTCTGCTGGCACCTCTCGCCTCCCCAGGAGGAGCTGGAATCCGCTCGAGAGCAACGAGGAGGCTTCAAAATGCCATTTTCCATGATCTTGTTAGCGTCCCCTTGTGTAGATGATCATGTATAACCTTATACAGAATACTGTCTGGTAACGAGATATACATACATGTAAGACATGCATACATGCAAGGACTGTTTGTAAGGAGCTCTGCTGGTGCAGTGGTAAAAGCATTGGGCTGCTAACCAAAAGGTTGGCAGTTCAAACCCACCTGTTCCTCGGGAGAAAGCTGTGGCAGTCTGTGTCTGTAAAGATTCACTGTCTTGGAAAGCCTATGAGGGGTCGTTAGGAGTTAGAATGGACCTCCCGACAGTGGAATATATATATATGTATTTTGGTTCAATGGCACAGTGGTTAGTGCTCAGCTGTGAACCCAAATGTTGGCCATTCAACTCCACCAGCCCTCTCCATGGGACAAATGGCCTAGTGATTGGTCCCATAAAGACTTCAGCCTAGCCAACCCTATAGGGCAGCTCCAGCCTTTTCTATAGGGTCTCCATGGATCTGAGTAGACTCAGCACACAATGCTCCCTCCCTCCCTCTAACCCTTTACGTTCAGTTCCCCCTATCTGCCACTCCCCCCACCCCGATCTTTCTTCAGGCCTGAGTCTCTCTCACCTGGGTTCCTATGTCCCCCTCTCTCTCAATGCTGACACTGGAGCGATCTTCCATCCTTACAGAACACCAACATCGCACTCCTGTTCCACAAGCGCCCCTGGCTTCCCCTCCACAAGGCAAAGTTGCGGTGTCCCAGCAGAATGGCCAACCCCCTTTCCACCTCATCTCCTGCATCTCCCTCCAGTTACGACAGCCCCTGTACTTCCTGTCATTCTTTGAACGCCGGTGTGTTCCCAATTTCCTGCCGTTTTTTACAAGGGGCTTCAAAAAGTTGGTGGGAAAATGTGGTTCTCTTTCAGTGACATTTTCCCACAAATTTGTTGAAGCCCCTTCTATACTGTCCACCCTAGAATGTCCTCTTCCTCCCGCTCCTCCCATCCTTTCTTCCTGCTGTCTTTCAAGGTTCAGGCCCCATTTCATCTTCCCAGGGAAAGCGTGCCGGACCTCCCCTTTGGAATAGGGTTCTCCGTCCTGCTAGCCGACACAGCTCCCCTTGTGCCTTTATCACGTCACCAAGCACATGCTGCCTGGTCCTAGTGTCAGAAGGACCTGGATGCATGTCTGTCTCCCTCCCAGGCTGTGAAGTGCTTGTTGACAACATTCAGCAAGTATCTATTGACCTACTGCCATATGCCAACCATTTGTTAGGTCCTGGTGGATTAAAAAAATGAAAAATGAGCACCAGCCCCAGCTCTCAAGAGCTCTCCGTCCTATGGAAGAGATAAAGCATGAGCACCAACAAGTACTCCCCCAATGTTCTATAGGCGGTCAGGTGAGAAAGGGATCTGTCCTGGCAGGCTGGCTTGGTCAAAGGAGAATTCAGAAGGGGTGGCCTCCGATTGAAGTTACATACTTGGATAGTTGTCTTTTGCTGGTCAGTGTCTTCTCTTCCGACCCCCTTAACCACCTTCTGAACATGGTGCTGGTGGGTCTCAGCCCGATCCTAATGTCCCTGCTGGACACTGCCTGCCTGGCACTCCATGTGCCTGGCAGGGCTTGCTGACGCCAAGCTGTGTCCACACCAGGATCCCAGAGGAGAGCCAGCCACCCAACAAGCAGGTGAAGCCGCTTTTCCGCCACTTCCGCCGAATAGACTCCTGTCTGCAGACCCGCGTGGCCTTCCGGGGCTCCGACGAGAGTGAGCATGGCCGTGAACGGGAAGGGCTTCCCGAGTGGCTCGGGTGGGGCTGTGCAGATGTTTCTGCGGGGCGCCCTGGTGTTAGGATGCCCTCGGGGGAGTCTGCCTGTGCAGTAGAGCCAGCCCTTCTCCTAGCACCTTCTTCAGAGATCCTAATGATTTAGGGGTGGAGGTGGGGCCGGGTGCAGAGAGGTGCACAGGAGGGGGCTGTACCAGTGTGGTTCCTCTGACCTCTAATGGACAGTTAATTACTTTCCTGTCTCTGTCCAGTCTTCTGCCGGGTCTACATGCCTGACCACTCTTACGTGACCATACGCAGCCGCCTCTCGGCGTCTGTACAGGACATTCTGGGCTCCGTGACGGAGAAGCTGCAGTACTCCGAGGAGCCCGCAGGGCGTGAGGATTCGCTCATCCTGGTAGCTGTGGCCTCCTCAGGAGGTGAGACCCTGGTGTGGAGACCCAAACCCAGCTCTGGGTGCAAGGACGGCTCTTGCGGCTCAGGTGTGGTCTTGGGCTCAGCACCAGGGGCACCAGCTGGGCGCCCACCTTTCGACCTGCATTTTAACAATATTCCCCAGATGCTTCCAGAGCAGATAAAAGTTTGAGAAGCACCTGGGTATCAGGTGGGAGGAGCACGCTTATCTCTAGGGTGGAGATTGTGGGACGGCAGAGCCTGCAAAGTAGCTTCAGCCTTACTGTTCCATCTCTCAAGGAGGAGGCCCCAGGAGCCCTGGTGGTGTAGTGCTTATGCAAGTCGATGGCACTGAGTCTGGGTTTTGGTTTGGAAGGACGGAGCCTGAGGAGCCCTGGGAGTATAGTGGGTTACACATTGGGCTGCTAACCACAAGGTCAACCGTTTGGAACCACCAGCCACTCCACGGGAGAAAGATGAGGCTCTGTTCCTTAACAGCCTCAGAAACCCACAGGGCAGTTCTACTCTATCTTCCAGGGTTGCTATGAGTTAGCTGTGGGTGGCTGGAGGAGCGAGAGGATGCCCACAACCACCCTCCACAGGGGTCATAGGTTAGCAACCTGGGTTAAAGAAGGCTACGCCCTGAGCTGCTAACTGAAAGGTCAGCAGTTCAAACCTACTCGTTTCCTCCTTGGGAGAAAGACGAGGCTGTCTGCTCCTGTAAAGACCGAAAGCGTCGACAACGCACAGGGGCAGTTCAGTTGTGTCCTGGAGGTCGCTGTGGGTCAGAATCGACTTATCGACAGCGAGAAGACAGATGGAGGGGAAAGTCCTGACGTCCCAGTGCCACAGGGATGAGAGAAGCACTAGGAAGGAACTTGGGGATCAAAAGGAACACATCAGTGCAAAACCCAGCTGCGCAGTTTCGAAGGAGCGCGCCACAGACCGTGATTGTGGGTCCCATTAGCCGAGCGGGTCGGGTTAGGATGTCTCAATGGAGAGGCAACAGTGGCTGGTGTGAGGAGTAGAGGGGACCAGGCCAAGCAGGTGGGAATGTTGGAGGGGACTCTCCCAGGTGGTGGCGGGAGGGGGCGCACATGGAGGGGAGGGACCAGTTCAGCCAGTTTAGGTGGTTGGGGGTATGTGGAGTGAACCAGTCCAGGTGGCTGGGGTGTGTGTGTGTGTGTGGAAGGGACCAGGTGTGTGCAGAAGGGACTGTTCCAGGTGGTTGGCCGAGGGGGGTGATAGGTTACGTATGGAGGGAACCAGTCCAGGTAGTTCGTGTGAAGGTGGCTGGTGTAAGTGTCTGGGGGTGTCTGGAGGGGATCGATCCAGGTGGCTGGGGCGTGTGCAGAGGGGCCTGGGGCAGGTGGCTGGGGCTGAGCCGCTTGTCTTCCTGCAGAGAAAGTCCTCCTGCAGCCAACCGAGGATTGTGTGTTTACCACGCTGGGCATCAACAGCCACCTGTTTGCTTGCACCCGGGACAGCTATGAGGCCCTGGTAAGAACCCCTGCCCAAGGCCTGCCGAGCGCTAGGGCTCAGGGTACTTGCGGGCCATCTCTCGCTCTGCCAGCCACCCAGAATCCAGTCCCTGTACCCTGCCTGCCACCAGGTGCCCCTTCCTGAGGAGATCCAGGTCTCCCCTGGTGACACAGAGATCCACCGAGTGGAGCCTGAGGACGTGGCCAACCACCTCACTGCCTTCCACTGGGAGCTGTTCCGATGTGTGCACGAGGTGGGCGCACGAGGTGCCTGAGGGCGTGGGGACCCGAGGGAGACCTGCGTCCTCTGGAGGACCTTGGGCATGGTTTAACACTCAGCTGCTCATCCGAGGCAGGGTCAGTGGCTCCTTGACTCCAGGGGAGAAAGCGTCTAATAATGACGGCCAAGGGAAGCCTGTGGGCAGTCCCTGTCCCTCACGAGGTCACGGGGTTAAAAACGGACTTGAGGGCACCTAACAACCATAGTACCTAGTTGCAGTACTCCTAGAACTCTGGCCAGCAGCCACTCCCTCCATGCCCGTGGGCATCGTTTGGGCTTACCCTAAGACTTTGCCCCCCTCCCCCTGCTGCCAAATGGCAAAGGCCAACCTGGCCCATGGTTCATACTGAATAAAGATTAAAGAAAGAAAACAGCCATAAAGTCTATCAGATGGTGGTTGTAAGGTTGGTCAGCCAGCAAGCTTGTAGGGAAGGACCTGCCACCAAGCGACAGAGTCAGTGCCATGGAGGTGGTCCTGACTCCTAACCGCCCAGTCCAGGGCAAAGCAGGGCTGTCCGGGTGGGTGGGGTTCAGAGACCGGAACTGGCTACTGGAGTGGAAAGCCTCATCTTACTCCCGTGGAGCAGCTGATGGCTTTCGACCTGCCGATCTTGAGGTTCGCAGCCCAACATGGCCCATGGTGGTGTATTACTAATTAACGTTGGCTTCCCTCGCCCCCATCCCTGCGGCTGCATCCTTGTTTGTCTACCCCCCCACCCCACCCGCCGGTCCTCACCCTCCTGCCGCCTTGCGGTGCCCGTTCCCGCCCCGCCCGCGGGCGCAGCTGGAGTTCGTGGATTACGTGTTCCACGGGGAGCGCGGCCGCCGCGAGACTGCCAACCTGGAGCTGCTGCTGCAGCGCTGCAGCGAGGTCACCCACTGGGTGGCCACCGAGGTGCTGCTCTGCGAATCGCCCGGCAAGCGCGCGCAGCTGCTCAAGAAATTCATCAAGA